TGTTATAGCTGGCGTGTGCTCGGCGCCTGCACATACACTTACACGCGCTCGGGCCGCAGAAAACGTGTTGCGTGTCTCTAGGTGCCCGGACACGCACGTAATGCACTGCGCGCAGAGAGTATACGTACCGAGCGAGAAACGCATTATCGCTTTTTAATCAGCCGAGCTTGCGCGCAGTGAGCTTTTCTTTTCCTTTACTTCGCAGTTCGTTACACACCCATGCGGCACGTGTGAAATTTCATTTCGTATATATTATCCTTCACGTATGATAACGATAACAATGATAATAATATATTGTAAAAAGTGTCGCGCGACCTTCGATTATTTCTCGTTTTTACACTTAAGGTGTGATAAGTAAATTAGAAAAAGCTCGAGGGAGAGGAATAAATATAAAGCTTAATTTTCAAAAAAATAAATAGTAGCTCCGTTGAGAAATATACTATTTTTTTATGCGTATTCTGCAAATATAAACTTTTGTAAAAGTGCTGGAAAAGATTTAGATTAAGGTTTTTGTAAAGTTGAATGTTTCATAAAAATTGAATGATTTCGTATCATCGCGAATGTTCAATTAATTTGAATTGTTCAGCATTTTGCAACTAAAGTTGCCACTAGTATACAGTGTGTACCATACATATACTGGTAGAATTAAGCATTACTTCGATTTCAATCCATGTTTTACATGCTGCCCATAATTGACCTACACCAAGTGGTGGCACTAGTACATTTAAAACATAAAGACCACACGTGCACTGAATGTGGAAGAGCTTACATCCGAAGAAAAGATTTGAAGAATCACATAATTGCAGTCCATCGAAATATCAAAAGCTACAAATGCGAAGAGTGTGGCAAACTTTTTGGACAAAAAAATAATCTTATGGTCCACATAAAAGAACATCATTTGAAACTGAAAAAGCATAAATGTGAAGTGAGGTTTTTGGAAAAGATTATGAATTAAATAGATATACACTGTAACAGCTCATGAAAAAATTATTCATCACTAATGCGTAGAGTGTGGCAAATCTTTTGGAATGAAGAGAAATCTAATGAAATACGATACATTTTGCGCCATTTCTCGAGCCACGCGCAAGTAGTAAAAATCTTTACACATCACGTGTAAAGCCGAGATAGACTTCCATCTCGCGCACGCGCCTTGTTTTCATCGGCCGAGAAATTCTGATAGAAAGTTGGAAATAGGCTGGCTTTTATTATTATTATTATTATTATTATTTACAGTTTATTAATCGACCTTGGGTTGAGATCCCGTCATACCATATAAGCAACTACAAAGACTAATTACAAAATAGAAATAAAAAGTATATGCCAGCGACCTCACTTACTCTCATGCGGGAATTGCGATGACTTACGTAGAAGCCCCCTAGCGGCAGATTAAGTAAACAATCTTAAGATCTTAGAACAAGAAAAATACAACTAAAACAGTTGGAAGATCTAGTAAAAGATTTATATTTTGAGGCTGATTTGAAGATACTCTTCACTCGTCTGAACAAACTGCATTCCGATTAATTGTAACAATATTTTTTACATATTTTTATATACTTCTGCGGTATTCATAAAGACATTATTGAGTGTAAAAGGGTCGTTTCATTTCAAAACGCCTGACCGTTGTAACAATTACATTTACTACTATAATAATGTATTTTAACAATAATAGCATAATTAATAATTCATTTCTTATATTATCCTTCGCGTATGATAACAATAATAATGATAATAATATATTGTAAAAAGTGTCACGCGACCTTCGATTAGTATCAAAGACGTCGACTTCGAGATAATTAAACGAGAAAAAGTTTGAGAGAGAGAGAAAGAGGGAAAAAATATAAAGCTTAACTGTCATCAAATTACTCGCGAGTCTTCTGAATATTAGTGTCGAGCGAAACGAATCTCGTTGTTGTCGTTGTTATTGCTCTTAAATGTGAAACTTGTTTATACACACACACACACACTCGACACGCGCAAAAGCCCGGTCGATGTATATACACGGTTTCGTTCGAGTCTTCGAGCTCGGCTAGCTATATATAGCTAGAGCATGAATGCGCGCCTCGAAAACTATGCTCCTCGCTGCTGCTGCTGCTAGAGCGCGCGGCAGACACCCTCGCACCCGGATAATTACCTCACTAAATATTCACAAGTTCATTAAGACTTGCTGTAGCGGGAGAGACGGGGAACCCTTTCTCTTTCTCTCCCCCGTTTCTCTATGCTTTTGGCTCTTTTCATCGCGCTATATACCGTAGTACCGTGTGTATGTCTATATATGTATAGTATAAACGTAGCGACGCGTTTTCGTGGATATAACGTGGCAGCGGCAACGACGACGACGGCGGGGACGCGGCTGCCTCGTAGTTGCGGTCAAAATCCGCTCCCGACGAGCGAGAGAGTGAGCGAGTGAGCTTTTCCGCGTGGCAACAGAGAGCAAGTCGTTCTCAGCGGTTTATTATTGTTACCTATTATTATTATCATCATCATTTATTTTTTTTCTAAACAAAAAAGCTGATTATCGAGGTTGAAAATCGTACGCTTCAACATTCCTCTCTCTCTCTCTCGGGGGAGCTATTATCGCTTTTCGCAGACGTCGTCGTCGTCGTCGCAATATGTAGTTTGTCTCGTTTCGCAAGCGTATTATCCGAGAAAGACAAGAGTATATAACGCGGAGCGTAGCAGAGCAATCCGCGCGTATAGAGGTACGTATGGTGGACCGTAAAAGTTTAATAGATCGTTTGGCACTGCTATAGCAGCAGCAGCAGGCCGCACAGTAACGCGTGTGTGGCGTCGTCGTCGTGAAGCGAGCTGAGCATATGCACACGCACGCGAGACTTCGAGAATGCTTCGTTTCACCGAAAAACAATTTTAGCTCTTTACTTCTCTGTACGTGTGCTAGAGAGAGAGAGAGAGAGAGCTGCGAAATTATACTCTCGCTCATATTCTTTTGTTTTGTTTCTCTCTTTTTTTTTTCTTTTATATTTCAGTTCTCTTGGCCCGCGCGTATGCGTATAATATAAGTTTATGCCCGCACGCGGAGAGTCGTACCGAGCGAAAATTAAATTTTCTTATTGCCTCGAGTTCGAGTAGCACCGATATTCGTGCTGCGCGCGAGTACGGTAGAGGTGTCTTGGGTATACTCGTGTACTTTCTCGAAGGATCATTTTGAATTATCCCCAAAATTGTATTCGCGATCGTAAAATTACCACGTGGGTAGTAACGGAAAATGGAAAAAGTTAAACGAGTTTGATGAATGAGTGCGCACCTCGCGCCAAGGATCTCCTTCGTTTTCTTAATGTTATGCATGAAACGTTACCGCTTAATGATTCCCTTTTTGGCTCCTCGGAGGCAAAGTTGACAAGTTTTCGCGAGCACCGAGATACATAAGCCTACAAATTTTGCTCTCACCAGGTGTATATATAATACGCATACGAAAACGAAAACTTTGCATAATTTCGATTCATATCCGGACGCGCGCTTGTATGTATGTGTGTGTGTGTGTGTGTTTAAAAGATCATCAAGATAAATAGAGCTTGCAAGCTCGAGCGTAAGTATTGAGTGCGCTTGCGAGCAGAAACGCGCGTCATTATCGCCGCTGCGCGAGTCCATTTACGGAAATTCACGCTTTTCGACAGTCGGATTTTTAGCTTTCTCTCTCTCTCTTGCTCGCTCGCAAGCGCAGCTACACAGCTCTCGGACTCTCTGAGCACAGCAGCTACATCAGCGAGAGAGAAGTTTAATTTAATTTAATATCTCTTTCACTCGCACACTCATGAACACGGGGCGCGTACAGCGCTCGCCTCTTTTGTACTGTAAACGCTCGTCTTTCCATTAAGTTAATTGCATCCTTCCGATTTTGGCGCATGCAGCGCTCGTTTTATTTTATTTATTTATTTTTTTTTTTGTTGTGCCCACTGTTATTCTTTTGACTTTTCCTTGCGCGAGAGATCGCGCGTAGCGCATAGATCGGACTGGTAGCTCCTATGTATAATTTTCCTTTTATTTATTTATTTTTTTTTTTGTTGCAACTAGCTCTTCAGTTTATCGAGATAAAGAGAAATTTTGCGCTCGCGCGCGTTCGAGGCAACATCATAATTCCTTAACGCAGCCAGCAGTAGTAGTAGTAGCTTGTTGCAACTCTCGAAATCTCTAATTCCGCTTGTCTCGAGTCGAGATAAAGACAAAACATCTTTTGAGATGAGCGAGCTCCTTTTCTTTCCTGTTCACTCGCGCAAGTCGCGTGGAAGAGAGCTGCGAGTGTCAAAAAAAAAGGAAGGGATGAGCTTTTTTTGTCCAAGGCAACTTAATTCCGCGACGAGGATATGACTCTCAAAAGGTTTAATGAAACGAGATAAACAAACTTGTCATACTTGTCGTCTTACCTTGTGTAAGAAGCTATTCAGCCTCGTTGATGCCGACGTAAAAAGGACTGATTTGATTTTTACAGAGATATTTTTAATATTTTCGAGTTGCTCATCAAGTAAAGCAGTAGAATCTTGATTTCTTCTATCGTATGGTATGAACTGACTTATATAATTATTTTTCCACTTTGCCACTTGCAGATTTATCGATGAAGGTAATCGCCATCTAGTGATGAAGACTGTCTCTAATTCTTTTTAAATTTTCTTACACTTTCACATCACCTTCTCTTAGATAAAATATAACTTTTTTTTCATTGATGTATTAAAAATAAAGTTCATGATTGAATATTTATATATTTTTTGTGCGTTTTACGTGAAAAAAAGTCCAAAGCCGTAATTTTCAACGAAGATTTCATGTGAAAGTTCCTTAAACAAGATTCAGCATGCCCTTTAATTTTAATATTTTATTTTATATTAAATCTGAATTAAATTGCAGTTTTTTTAATTATGTAGATTTAAAGATGTAGATACCAAAGTTATCCAAAAATGCAAAATTGTTTACTTATTTCCATTTGTGAAATGTTGTTTGGTGTAAAAGTACGAAGACGACAGTGGATAATGATTTAACGACGAAAGCACAAATTTGAGATAAGACGCAATCGTATTAACCTAATTGTTACTTTTATTTAAGACAAATTTGCGGTATACATGGTTTACAATTGTCAGGTAAAGTACAATGAGCGCTTATATTGTTACCAGTTGTAGAATACACGTTATTAACCATTCAGTACGCACGACTGAAATAAGTTTGAGTCATTTGTATAAAAAAATTTATTATTTATACTATAAATTAATTATCATATCGCATGATAAAATTATGTACAACTGCGAAAATTAAAATTGTTCAATTTTAATTCTTACACTATCGTTTCACCTTTTTTCACCGAAATGGTTCAATTTTCATTCTTACACTTTCTTCACCTTTCTTCACCAAATTGGTTCAATTTTAATTCTTACACTTTCTATACCTTCACTTCTTACATTTTCTTCACCTTCATTTGTTTCAAGACCTGGTTCAATTTTAATTCTTACAATTTCTTCGCCTTCATTCGTTGCAGGATCTGACAATCGATTGTGTCGGCAAATGAAACAATTATAACAGTTGTCCGATGGCTCATATTCGTGAATCATCTGGACCTCTCCTTTGTAATCGATCAAATTGGATGGAAGTCCAAATTGTTGTGTACTCTTGCATTCTTCACTCTTGATATCTTCGTTTTCTATTTTTGGGTGGTTGATCCAACTTATTGGATCGTCAAGATCCGGCTCGAACCTTCTATTTCGGCTGGAATTTTGGCGAGGTTCGTGGACTGTATTGTGGTGCTTGATGTAGTGCCATTTTCGTCCGAACTTCTTCTTGCACCTCTCGCAGGTGTACTTTTTACGACCCTCGTGTATAGCCATCTGGTGTAAGAGCAAATGCGATTTTTGTTTAAACTTCTTTCCGCACTTGTCGCATACGTGATCGTTGTCACCTTCATGGTACTTTTTTATGTGCAAGTGTAAATTACCTTTTTTTGAGAAGGCCTTGTCGCACTGGTTGCAGAGATATTCTTCGACACCCATGTGGATGGTCTTTTTATGGTCGAGCAAAGACTCGTTACTCCCAAATTTCATCCAGCATTGGTCACACTCGTAATCGTTGCTTATTTCGTGGGTTATTTTTTGGCGTTTGATCAACTGCTCTCCGGTATAGTCACAGAAATAATCTTTGCCACCTTCGTGTATTATTTTTTGCTGTCTGGTCAAATTGCTCGAATCCTGAGATGTTTTTTCGTGACTTTCTTGGGCTGTTTCTTGATGGCTGGTCAAACTGCTTGAAATCTCAAATGTCTGCCTACCCTTGTCGCTTTCGTAACCTTGGCGATTTTCATTGACTGTCTCTTGGTGGGTGAGCGATTGCAATTGCTGTTTTTGTTCGATTTTGTTCTCGCAACTGTCGAATACGTCATCTTTAGGACCTTCTTGGGCTGTTTCTTGGTACGTGGTCAGACTGCTTGGAATCTCAAATGTCTCTCCAACATTTTCACGAAAGTAATCTTGGCGATTTTCATGGACTGCCTCCTGGTGGGGGAGCGATTGCTGATTTTGTCCAAATTTGTTCTCGCAATTGTCGGTAGCATGACTTTTGTGGGCTGTTTCTTTGTGTTCGGTCAAACTGTTTTGACCTTCAAATGTCTCCCCGCAATCGTCACATAAAAAATCTCTGCTACTTTCGTGGGCTGTTTCTTTATGTTTGCTCAAACTGCTCGGATCCTCAAATGACTCTCCGCAATTGTCACATGAAAAATCTTTGCTATGTTCGTGGATTATTTCTTGGTGTTTGATCAAATTGCTTCGATCTTTGAATGTCTCCACGAAATTGTCACATGAATAATTATTGACACCTTCGTGTACTAAGTTTTTGTGACTTGTCAAACTGCTTGGATCCTCAAATGCCTCCCCGCAATTTTCACATAAGTAATCTTTGCGACGATCGTGGGTTACTTTTTGGTGTCTGGTCAAACTGTTCAAATCTTCAAATGCCTCGGCGCAATTTTCACATAAGTAATCTTTGCGAACTTCGTAGGCTGATTTTTGGTCTCCACTCAAACTGCTTGGATTTGGAAATATCTCCCTGGAACTGTCGAATGCAGAAGCCAAGGGATCTCCGTGGGCTTCTTCTAGATGTTTGGTCAAGTTGTTTTGATCATCAAATGACTCCCCGCAATTTTCACTCAAGTGATCCATCAAACCTTTGGAAAAATCAAAAAATTGAATTAATTTTTCTAATATTCAATGAAATAAATAACTAATAAATTTGAAGAAGTAAATATAAAATATTAAGTTAGCTGTCAATGCATAACTAAAAGCATCAAAATATGAGAGATAAAAAACTTGTGTATTGAAAAAAAACATTAAGAATAATGAATTTAAAAAATGTTAAAATAATTAAAGTTCAACCTTCGTGTACTATTCTTCGGTGTCTGGTCAAACTGCTTGGATCCTCGAATGCATCCCCGCAATTTTCACATAAACAATGTTTGGTAGCTTCAAGTACTATTTTTTGATGGATGAGCAACGGCTGTGTTTGTTCGAAGTTTTTTGCACCATTGTCGATTACGTCAACTTTATGACTTTCTTGAGCTGTTTCTTGGTGGATGGGCAGTTTAGGATCTTTAAGTACTATTTTTTGATGGACGAGCAATGGTTGTGTTTGTTCAAGGTTTTTTTCACCATTGTCGATTACGTCAACTTTATGACTTTCTTGGGCTGTTTCTTGGTGGATGGGCAGTTTAGGATCTTTAAGTACTATTTTTTGATGGACGAGCAATGGTTGTGTTTGTTCAAAGTTTTTTTGGCCATTATCGATTACGTCAACTTTATGACTTTCTTGAGCTGTTTCTTGGTGGATGGGCAGTTTAGGATCTTTAAGTACTATTTTTTGATGGATGAGCAACGGCTGTTTTTGTTCAAGGTTTTTTTTACCATTGTCGATTACGTCAACTTCGTGACTTTCTTGGGCCGTTTCTTGGTGGATGGGCAGTTTAGGATCTTTAAGTACAATTTTTTGATGGACGAGCAATGGTTGTGTTTGTTCAAAGTTTTTTTCGCCATTGTCGGTTACTTTAACTTCGTGACTTTCTTGGGCCGTTTCTTGGTCGATGGGCAGTTTTGGATCTTTAAGTACTATTTTTTCATGGACGAGCAATGGTTGTGTTTGTTCAAAGTTTTTTTCGCCATTGTCGGTTACTTTAACTTCGTGACTTTCTTGAACTGTTTCTTGGTGGATGGGCAGTTTAGGATCTTTAAGTACTATTTTTTGATGGATGAGCAACGGCTGTTTTTGTTCAAGGTTTTTTTTACCATTGTCGATTACTTCAACTTCGTGACTTTTTTGGGCCGTTTCTTGGTGGATGGGCAGTTTTGGATCTTTAAGTACTATTTTTTCATGGACAAGCAATGGTTGTGTTTGTTCAAAGTTTTTTTCGCCATTGTCGGTTACTTTAACTTCGTGACTTTCTTGAACTGTTTCTTGGTGGATGGGCAGTTTATGATCTTTAAGTACTATTTTTTGATGGATGAGCAACGGCTGTTTTTGTTCAAAGTTTTTTTCGCCATTGTCGATTACTTCAACTTCGTGACTTTCTTGGGCCGTTTCTTGGTGGATGGGCAGTTTAGGATCTTTAAGTACTATTTTTTGATGGACGAGCAATGGTTGTGTTTGTTCAAGGTTTTTTTCGCCATTGTCGATTACGTCATCTTCGGGAATTTCTTGGGCTGTTTCTAGGTGAGTAAGCAGTTGCTGTTTTTGTTCAATTTTGTTCTCGCAATTATCGGGAGCGTAATCTTTGTGACCTTCCTCGACTGTTTCTTGATGTCTGATCAAACTGCTTTGATCGTCAAATTTCTCCTCGGAATTGACACATTGGAAATCTTTGCCATCTTCGAGTACTATTTTTTGGTGATTAGTCAAACTGCTTTGAACCGAAAATGTCTGCCCGGCATAGTTACATAAGTAAACTTTGCCATCTTCTTGTAACGTCTCTTGGCGGTTGAGCGACTGATGTTCTTGTCCAAATTTGCTTTCATTATTGTCGTATACGTCATTTTTCGGACCTACTTGGATTATTTCTTGGGGGATGATCAAATTGCTTCGAGCCTCGAATGTCTCTCCGACATTTTCGCATATGCTATCTTTGGGATCTTCTTGTAGCGCCTCTTGGCGGTTGAGCGATTGATGTTCTTGTCCAAATTTGCTCTCATTTTTGTTGCATACGTCATTTTTCGGACCTACTTGGATTGTTTCCTGGTGGGTGATCAAACCGGGTAGAATCACAATCGTCTCCTTGAAATTTTCACGTACGTCATCTTGGCGATTTTTATGGCTTATTTTTCGGCGTTTGATCGAACGGCTTCGATCTTCAAATGTTCTCTCGAAGTTTTCACCTATGTAATCGTGCGCTTTTTTTTGATGTTGAAGCAAACTCCTTTTGTATCCAAATTTCCTGTCACACTTGTCGCATTCGAAATCCAAGCGTCCTTCGTGGGTTATTCTTTGATGTCTGACCATACTTGCTCGAGTAGTAAATTCCTTATTGCAGTGGTCGCAAACGATATCTTTGCGACCACCCTTGTGTACCGAACTCATGTGCCTGCTCAAATCAATACGATCCTTAAATTTTCTCTCGCACTTGTCACAGTCAAAGTCTTTGCGAGCTTCGCAGACTATTTCTTGGTGGATACTCAACACCACTGGATTGCTCTGTTTGGGTGCAGAATCAATTTGACTTTCATGTATTTCCTTTTGGTGACTGATCAAATTCATTTCGAGTTCAAATTTCAGCTCACACTTATCGCACGCAAAATCATTGCGGTCTGTGTGTGCAGCCATTTGATGCGTACTCAACTGACTTTGGAACACAAATTTCTCCTCGCACTTGTCGCAAGCAAAATCAGTGCGATCCTCGGGCTTCGTATTTTGGGGTTCCATTAGACTTGATATTACTGTCATGCTTAATGAGCATGCCTTCTGATAAATATCTTGCGAAAAATCTGTTCCGAGATTCTGCTCAATTGGCTCCATTTTAGTATCTAAATTGAATGACGGATTCTTCTATTTGGTGACACGGAATTTCAGTTGATAAAATTCAAATAAAATTTTCTCGCTATTATTTCTTACACCATCGGCAAAGACAACACTCGGACTAATTCGTTCGTCTAGATACACGTTCAGTGTTCAAGACGAGTAGTCAAGATTGCTTGCGATCGTATTGTTTACATTCAGCGATCGACTCATCTGTTTGTATATTTTCATATATTGTTACTTGATCAAAATTCTAGCTTGGCGATGATTTCTACGAGAAAGTTTTATGTTATCATAGAACGTAATATTTATAGAAATATTTCCAGTAATATAAAATTAGATTTTTATTTTGTTCGTGATATTCACGCTTATATGGGTCAAATTCAAAATTTTTAAATAAAACTGCGCTACGTGTTTTCAGATTTTGAAATTTATATATTATCTAGAATCCATATAAACGTCGGTTTTGTTGTCGGTATGACAGGATTCTGAGTAAAAAGTTGCTTCAAAAAATCGTAAAAAATTTAATGTAGGTTTATTATGAAATTAGCAAACTATAATATTTCCAGATTTGCTTGACCCTCTCACGATTTGTAGTTTCAATATCAAGGCTAGAGTACATAATTTTAGGCATCCGTAATTGTTTTAAAATGAATTAATTACGTTGAGCCGATCGCAAAAGCAAATCCACCCATGAAATATTTAACTTCTAAGAAATCTAATAAAAACTGACGTTTTACTAATTTTCACATTGATATTACAAATTACGCATTGATTTCGATACACACGGAAAATGTTTTTTGCATCTTCTAACAGAATCTCAACGAGTTGTGAATTATTTCATAAAAATTAATTTTTCTTGTATTTCTTAAGGATCAAATATTTCAATTTATTGCACGGCGAACTTGCGTTAAAACTTTTTGTAGTAAAAGTATCACATCAAAATGCTCGCTCGTTAGCAGTAAACTAATTTTCTGCCAAACACAATTAAACTAACTTGAAATAAATAAATTAATAGATAAATTAGATCATTGTTGGAGTATAGTTTAGGCTTGTGATTTTTACGTAATTTAGCTCTGTTATAGACTCCAAAAATGAGATTTTGAACCAAGCGTCGAACAGCAGTTTGCTTTACGCATTTGTAAATAAGATTGAATTCTTAAAAAATGTCCGAATGTATAATGCGTATCTGTATGCTTGCAATGAGTTTTTAATTCTGAGAAGAAAATTCTTTATTATGAATTGGCATCATTGGCAACAGTTTGTTAAATTATCTGCGAAGATGAATTTATAAACCACCCTACGCTCAAAAGACCAACTGAACTTTTTAATATCTCTCGCATAATACCATTATGTACTCTATTGATTTTGATTCAGAGATAAAACTTTTTTTTTGTGTATGTTTCAGTGCATGCATGTAAGTCGCACGTATATCTCAGCAAATTGTGCCCCTGAATGAACGACATTTCCAGAAAAGATTCTGTATATCTTTGATGACATGTTAGTGCCTCTACGTGTATTGCAGTACATAACTGCGTACGGCCAGTCGTCAGTGGAGGGAGAAGGTATCGCCGAGGAGCTACTGCAATCGCGGGTCAATTCGCTAATGTACGAGGAGTGCGTTCCTGCAGTAAACAAACGTACATAACCTAACAGGCTTACATATTTTCTCAGAGCAAATCGTGAAAATACCCAGTTATTTCGAATAATCAAGAGAGTCAGCATGGAAAGCAGAGAGGACGCAGTTAGGTAGTGCATTTTTATATATATGCTATGATGTTTTTTCGAACGATCGCTTCAAAAAAATTGATTATATTTAGGGTGAAGCAAGAACTGAATAATACTTGGCCGGATGCAAGCGACGATTATAATTTCGATCTGGTGGACTCATGCGAAGTCGAAAACTTTGAAACATTCCCGTTTTATGATTTACCAGTGAGTTTAATAATTTAAATTATTTTCTAATTACGATAACTATTAAATTATTTTAATTTCAGGCAAATCACGTGAATGAGGATATGGCGCTACAAGAGAGGTTAGATGAAAAAATATTTGCAGATTTTGAGTGCAAAAATGTTAAACTTGAACTGATGCCTTTATCGACGACCAAATTCAAATCTGAGGATCAAAGCTATTCACCTATAGTGAAGAATGAAAAACAAATCAACACCAGTTATTTGGATGAAAAAAGTCGAATGACTTTAATGAAAAAAGAAGACGATTGCGATAATAACTGTCAACTTCAAGAAAAGAACCGTTTGAAGTATGATGAATCCGAGAAAGTTAAAACGTTTGAAAAAAGAACTCAAACCAAATTAGCTCATGAGGGTAATTTGTTTCGAAAAACTTATACAGAAAAAGCGAGTCTAAAAACACACATCAATTTAACACATGAAAGTATTACACCATATGCATGTGAGATAAGTTGCAAAACATTTAGATGCCAGAGTAAAGTAGTGAGGCACACATTGACAGTACATGATCGTATCAAACCCTTCGAATGTGATGTTTGTCACAAATCATTTGGACTAAAATGTAATCTTAAATTTCACATAAATTCAGTACATTCTCATAAAAAACCCTACGAGTGTCAGATTTGTCACAAATCATTTGGATACGCATGTCACCTTAAATCTCACATAAATTCAGTACATTCTAATAAAAAACCCTTCGAATGTGATGTTTGTCACAAATCATTTGGACTAAAATGTAACCTTAACTCTCACATAAATTCAGTACATTCTCTTAAAAAACCCTACGAGTGTGACATTTGTCGAAAATCATTTGGATACGCATGTCACCTTAAATCTCACATAAATGCAGTACATGTTCCTAGCAAACCTTTTGAATGTGATATTTGTCACAAATCATTTGGATACAAAAGTACTCTCAAGACTCACATGAATGCATTACATGATCAGAATAAACCCATTAAGTGTGAAATAGATCATAAATCATTTGAATGCCTGCAAATTTTAAAAAACCACATAAACAAAGTACATAATAAAAGCAAACTCTTCGAATGTGAAATTTGCCACAAATTATTTGGAGTAAAAGCAAATCTCAAAACTCACACAATTGGAGTACATGATCGTAGCAAACCCTTTGAGTGTGTTGTTTGTCATAAATCATTTGGATGTAACAGTAACCGTGATAAGCACATAAGAATAGTACATGATCGTTGCAAACCCTTTGAATGTGAGATTTGTCATTCATCGTTTGGAGAAAAGAGTAAACTCAATAGGCACATAATAACAGTACATGATCGAAGCAAACTCTTTGAATGTGAGATTTGTCACAAATTATTTGGGCAGAAAAGCAACCTCAATCGTCACATATATACCCTGCATTTTCATAAAAAACCCTTCGAATGTGATATTTGTAAAAAATCATTTTGATACCAGCATACACTAAAAGGTCATATAAACGCAGTACATGTAAGAAGCAAATCCTTTGAATGTGAGATTTGTCAAAAATCATTTTCATACAAGGTCAACCTCAAAAAGTACATAATAACGATACATAATAAGATCAAACCCTTCGGATGTGAAATTTGTCACAAATCATTTGGAAAAAACGGCAACCTTAAAACTCACATAATGAAAGTACATTAATAACGGAAAATCATTCGCATATGAGATAAACAAAAGTCATACACTATTTCTATATAAGGATGACTACAAGGAACTTGCTTCACGATCGTAGTAAGCCGTAAGAGCGTGAGTTTTGTCAGGAGGATTGGATGCAATGAAGACTTCTACAATCACACGAGTAAATCATTTATTTTAAGAAAATCTCTACTGTCAGTTACCTTAAATTCTTCAAAACATAATAAAAAAAATTCAAAAAGTTATTAATTTTACTGTGTTGAAAAAAAACTTTTTAATAACTTTCCTTGCATTAAATAAAATATAAAATAATTTTTTCCAACTAAATTCTTGCCTAATACTAATATTTATTCTAAAACTTTGTAAGCTCATCTCTTCAAATAATTTTCGTTTACGCGGAAAAAGTTTAACAGCATCCATGGTCGATAAAAAGCTGCGGAAGTATTGACAATTTAGCATATCAGATGCAAAGCTTATCGCATACCTCGTAATTGAATAATACATAAATTTGTTTATGAATGTTGCTTAGTCTTACTGAAATAGTACAGCAACCACTTTTTTTTCTACTTATTTGTAATCATCTCATTTAAATCAAGATAAAAATTAATCTATTTGTATATTTTCATATCTTTGAATTAGTTCAAAATCTTGGCTATGATCACTTTCAGAAATTGTTTTGTTATTATAAAACTAAGTACACTTATAAAGAAACCATCTGTAATATTAAAGTAGATTATTGTACTTGTAACTGTATTTATATTCAAATTCTTTTTTAAACTAAACTGTGCGATGAGTTTTTAAATTTTGATTTAATTCACGTATCTTTTGTAACATATCAAAGTGAGTCAAAAATCATAGTTCTAGCCCTGAAATTAATGTGTCACCTAGAATCGGTACAAGCTAATTCATTCAGACGCTGCACGAGTTGAATTTTGCACTGATCTCAATTCGTTCTATTTCGCCGTCAAAACTAGCTGTGACTAAGGAAAAATGTTTGACTCTTGCAAATTGATCGATTTTTTACTGTTCTCTTCCACTGGTGATCTTGGTTTTTTCGAACAATGATCGGCTTGGACGCGGTCATGAATGTCCGCTTTTCATTGATTCTGAGCATACGGGTGCTTAAAAAAATCGTAAAAAACATCATGCAGATACATAAAGAAACATCGAAATTCCAAATATTAAAATGTACAATCGTAAGAGGTGAAAGAATGCGATTCAGTTATAACATAAAAAAATTACGATTTTAGGGTATACGTTTAAGCCTCTTAACCCACGCGAAAAGCCATGGGAAAGTCGAGGCCCAGCAAAAAGCGGAATTCCACGAGATCGGTGAAAATTTCTAACGAGCAACGGCAGCCGTCGACGGAGGAGAAGAAGAAAGTTATAACCTAGACACCTCACAGTAGCAACACGAGAAGCAAAAGCACAGCAGCAGCAGCAGCCCCAAAGTATTCGACAAGTCCAATTTGAAAAAATATGCTTTGGGAAAGTTCCGAGCAGAGCTCGCACGATATGAAGTGGAATCAGCTCTGCCCTCTCCCGTTGTGTGCCCCTTTTTCCCGCCTCTCCTCACACACACACACCCTTTGTCGAGTGAATTAAAGTCGCATAAATGATGGAGCGAAAAGGAAATAAAATCATGCGAGGCAGTAGTAGCGCATTATAGGCTGATGTACTGCCTTGCCATGTTGTTGCTGCTGCTGCTGCTGCTGCTGCTGCTGCTGCTACTACTTCGCGAGTAGCAAAAGTTCGCCGTCGAGCAAAGAAAGTCGGCGACTGGAGAGAGGAGAGAGCACATAGCAACAAGTATATAGAACTTTTCGTATAGTCGTTCGTCTTCTTGTCTCTTGCCGCGCCGAGCGCGAGCAAGCGTCTACTTCCATGCGTTTATACGATGTTTGACAGTTCGCCTTCTTTTGCCATGACAATGGGGCTTTCCATCTAATTTTCACGAGAGATAGACATATTTTACTCTCCTTGTCAACTGTAACTAGCATTTTTATCGAAAGCGCTTCGATATTATTATTTTCTGACAAAAATCAAAATACGACAACGGAATCGATGCCTCGACGCTTCGGCGCGATCGCGTGATTCAATTATTTTATTTTGCCCAAGTTTAAAAATGAAGCGAGATTGTATTCTCGTGTAAACGAATTTTCATCGCATCCGCGAGACGCTTCCGCGCCTTTCTCATTCCCTTATTTCATCCGTACGTCGTCGGCGTGTACGCGTGTATACGCGCAGAAAAGAAAGAAACGCGCGGCGTGGCATTTGAACTTTTAATTTGACACTAGCTAGACTTACGAAAGTTTGCAGAGAGAGAAGTGTGTGTGCGTATGCGAGAGTACAAGAGTGTTGAGAGACGTCTCGCGCGTGTGCGTATACGTAAAATTGGAGTGTGCAAGTGAGAGGAGACGGAAGGAAAGGCTGGAAACGCGAGAAGAAGGTGATAGACACTATATCTTGTTATAAAATCGTAAATCAATCTTTGATACTCGCTCGAGCTTTTTGTTTTCTCGGTGAAGTTTTGTTCTATTGGGGCTTACACGAATAAATATCCAGATCGTAGAGCTGTTTCATCTTACAAAGCGACTTTTTTTGTTTAAATCTTTCAGGCATTCAAATGAAATAACGTTGTACGTATTTTTGAGTTATTACAAAAAAAAATAAGTTTCTCTTCAAAAAATATTGAAAAACAATTTATGAGGAATGATCCAAGTAATAACTTTTGATATCAAGGGGAAACCGTAGCTGTTAAGTTAGGGCAGATACTGTTTCCTTGTTGGAACATGTAGTAATATCGTAATAAATTATGAACAAACGATTTGAAAAATCAATTAAATAAGTTTAACGCAAGGTACAGCAACTGCCTTTACTACTTTTCCCGAAATCAGGCCCAGTTCGAAAGTTTGCACATGCCTTTTTACGCTGCTCAAGTCATAGGGTATGCAGTAAATATATTGAAGAAACTATAAATTATAAATGAACAAATACATAAAAACGTATCAAATTCATATTCGAATCATTTCTTGTAATGACTATTATTGCATTTTCATGTAAACCAGGACTGTAATCTACCGAAAAAAAAATTAAGTCCAGCTGAGAGAACAACCATATAGTAACTTCATCCGTGACCTCTAGATGGCAAGAGACGATAAAACGAAGTTCTCATAAATAATTTGTTGCTAAAAGTCTTTAGGTATGGTCAAAAACACGTATGGTCATACACTCATAATCATGTCTAATGTTTAATATTTAATATTTATTTATTTACCTTTCTTTGTACTATTAAGTACATGTACCGCACTGTTACGTGTATTGTCGCCTCTTTTTACTAATCCTGTATTTTATACAACTTTTTAACTTTTTACCTCTGATAAACATTTAAGTAAAACAACGATTAATAATATGTGTAACAATAAGCAAATAAAAGTACGATGATGAAAATTCTAGAAAAAATAGTTACCTTGTTACACATACAACTTGGGTACATAATTTAAAGTGATTCGTGCGATGTATATTATACATGTATTGATGTGCTTCACTAAATAATCAACTTCTTTCTATAAACAAAAAGAGTACTGCACTTGCGTTAATCCAATACACGCTATTGTACCATTTCTTATTTATATTTATTTAATTTAAATGGGATATTTACCTTGGAGCATTTTTTGCATTTCCATTCATTGTGTTTTGCTTGGCATGAACTTGAATCTATTCAATTGCTGCAAAAAAGAAATCCCGCTTGTAAGAAAATCTACGATTTGAATTCTAATTTCAAAATTTTTTTTAACCAATGCTTTGATTTATACGATTATTTTTACCAAACCACTTGCAGATTTATACATAAAGATAATACTAGCCATCTAGTGGTCGAGACCTGAAGTAGTAACATCGTACAAAAAGTAGTTACAGACAATTTGAAAGATTTGACACAATTAAATTATAATTTTCAGGTTATTTAAAATTCCTTCAATAACAATGTATTCATGATAATTATTATTATTTAGGTAAAATTTCAAAAATGTTTCAAGTTTTTTCATAATTTTCTTCGATTTCTATAAATTCCTTTCCTTTTCATACGACAAGAAAGATTTCTAGGCCTTTTTTTTCCTTTTTCGTGCTCGTTTCGTCCAATCGTCGAAATAGTCATAAACGCGAGGCGCGCGCGCACGAATCGAACGAAAAACTGCTAAACGAAAATGCCCGATATAGAGGTGCAAAGAGAGAGAAAGCCGACGACGACGAGCAAAGGGATCAAACACACACACACGCACACGCTCGATCTAATGGGAAAAGTAATGGATTTTCGGTAATAAAGATCCCCGAGCCCGATCGGACTCTCGCTCCGCTTTTCCATTTGAGCAATTTTCATCCTTTCATCGCGCGCGCGAGCATGTGATATCAAGATGTCGAGGGAGAGAAGAAGAAGAAGAAAAAAAGGTAAGCTACAGCCGTAAGATATCCTCGATGGTTGGCCTTTTTGGATTCGCGTAAGATAGGACGATGATTGAGTCTCGCGCGCATTACGTACTGTACTGCGAGCGAAGCAGCTGCTAAATTTCAGATGGCAATCGTGGCCCTTCGTTCATTTCACACGCATCAACATCTCGATAAAACGAAGTTTCATATATAAAGCGTCGTTCGTCTTTATTTCCTCAAAAGCGATCATCCCCCCGGCATAAACGACGCATTTGATACGACGATTCGCGCGCAGTCCTCGGAGACGCGTTCGAGTACATTATCACGTCCTGATGTATATATTACGGGACAGTGGAACGTTACATGCGCTCGCTCGCGGCTATTTTACATCGGAGCGATCCGACTCGGAGGACTAAATCAGCTTTCGGGGGGGGTCACAATGGATCGACGGCCGCGCGCGTAGTCCGAGACTAATCACTGTATACGCTAAATGGACTCCAATGCGGCTGGCAGCCGTGCGTGTATATTCTTTGACGCTCGCTGCTTGTACCAGCAGTAGTACACCTCAACTACATCGTACACTGTACTCGGTCAACCGATCATTCACCGCTGTTCTCGTCGCGTACACTGCAGGGCTCCGGGTCTCGTGTACTCGCACTTTTCAACGCGCGAGGCTGGCCCCGATCGCAAAAGGTACGTATAAAATTATCGTACTTCGCAGCTGGTAGTACACGGGCAGGCACTTACGCGTTTACAGGGATGACGGCGGCGGCGACGACGAATCGATACGCACACGCAGGTGAGCCGCACTCGTATATATACGCTGCCAAATCGCTCCATCGTGTGTGTTTACGCTCGGCAGGACTCTCTCTCTCTGCGCGCAGAGAGTACACAAAACAGAAAGGAACAAGCAGCGGCACTGAGCGAAGGATTAATCGCACTTGCAGTGTACGCGCTATAGTAAAGCAAGAGAGAGAGAGAGAGAGGAAAGCTTCGGGGCCAATTCGAGCGTACATATATACCCCGTATACATGTATGTATCCTCCTAGTGCAGCAGCAGCAGCGGCATATACAGATCGAGTTCCCAAGGGCGTGATGTGTCGTAGCTAATTACAAGCGTCCAGTTATCACTCCCGTGTATGAGCCACGCTCTGTACTAGAGAGAGAGAGAGAGAACAAACACGTCTTTGATAATTTACTCGAGAGATACGTGGAGGTGTTTGCTGCAGGGGATAGGCAGAGGCGAGTTATACAGCTCTCTGCTTTACAATTTATCTACACATAACATATATGCGGTATATACAGTCTGTGGCCTCGATAATAATTTGATTTTTATTGCCGAGTCGAAACTTTGAGCTGAGATTTTTCGAAAATTGGTAGCGAGATCGAGTCGCGTTAACAACCATCCCTTAAACTCGCGGCTTTCGGGTACATATCGACGAATGGAAACTTCTCTCTCGTCGTCTTGGAAGCTCTGGGGCTAGGTAGCTTTTGGGTTTTGCGGGGAGAGAAGGAGGTACAGGGATCGTTGCTATATATGAATAGGAGCTCTGGAAAGGAAACTTACACGTCGAGAGAGAGAGGCAAAGGCCGTTCAGCGCCTGCACACGGACAATATGGCGGTTGGTGCTGCTCGCATCGAAACCGGATCACTGTACTCGTACTACTACTACTCCTCCCGAGCGCGCGCGCGCGCGTTAACTTAGGCTAAAGGACCCGCTACTTTGCCTGGCGCGACGTTCGGATATTCTCTTGCTCTGTACAGTGTGACACACACATACATGTACGTAGTAGTACACACGTAGTAGACTTGCAGCAGCCACCTCGAGTTATCGAGGCGAGAAGCTTCGACGTTATATACACGTATAGAGAGAGAGAAGCTGCCTTGCGAAACTTTGCTGCGACGCAGTAGTAGTACTACTACTAGCTCTGGAGAGAGAGAGAGAGAGAGATTCTTCGCGACTGGAATAGCTAATACACACGTCAAGGGTGCAAGCATGCGGTCAGAATGCACAGCCATGATTTAGCTCCGAGAGAGAGAGAGAGAGAGTTATATGCTCCAGAGAGACGATTGAATATATATAGGGAAGGCGAGATGAGATGGAAAAGAAAAGAGAAGAAGATCGTCCCAAAAATAGGATGGATTTTCGATCGAGCGATGTATAGAGATGCAATCGTTACGCTTAAAAAGCCATTTAACGATAGCGCGAGCGAACGGGGCTGCGAGAGAAAACGACCGCTTTGGCTCGCTCATAATTACGAAATTGCGCGCATGAAAACTTGGCCAACTGCGCGCGCGCGCGCCGAACTACTAGTAATAGCCGCGCGTGTATACAAGCCTGGACAAGAGCCGAGCGAGCAAAAGCTTTGCGCCATGGTACAGAGAGAGATAGGAGGTGATCGCGAGTGAGTAATTTTCAAAGTGCATTTCATTAACGTTAATGTGATTGGTATTTCAAAAGCAGTTTGTGTATGCGTGTATGCTGCTAACGCACTAAATCGATAAATTATCAAACGCGCGCGCGATGCAATTTTTATCGCTCGCGAAATATGCGCGCGTGTATCGACGTACGTATCAAGCTTAACTCGCTACTGCTGCACTTTATCGAGACTTTAATTCTGGTGCATATGTATAGATGTATAAATACGAAAACGCAGATTGAAAAATTTGCCTGATAAATTTTTATTGGTACGCGCGGGCGACAAAATCGGAGCGACAAATTGTCCTTTTTTTTTATCTTAATGAAAGCTCGCGCGCTCAATCGCGTGACGAGCTGCGTACCCATCGATGACATAGTACATTATATAGATTTCACACGATGCATCGACGAGTTGCAAAATTTTTTTTTTAAATTTGTCGCACTCGTAGAGCATAACTTTTCTATTTTATACGCCGGTGTGGGCGCAGTCGATCGAAAATCACATCACTGTCACGCACACACTTTACGTCCCTTATCTCGCGCTTTTAATGCAGCAGCGTATTATATAACGCAGCGATGGAAAATCAGTTGGGCGCAGAATATGTGTGCAAGCGTATATGTATATACCGTACGTGTGAGTGAGTTAATGTATGTGGGTGTGGAGTTGAAGGTTGCAATTGAGATTTAACTTATTGACAAGCTACTTTGCTCTCTCTCTCTTCTGCTGCTCTCTCTCTTATACGCAGATATATACACGTATATATAGGCTCGATACGCCGCAGGCTTATATGCTCTCCATCCGCGTATTCGCCGACCAAGAGTTCCCTGATTTCCCTCGAGTAATCTCAAACCCTTGAGAAACCCCTTGCTATTCTTCGTCTCCACCCTTGCCTCGGTGCGCGCTCCTACTTCCCTTTTCCCTCTATCCCACGAGCCTAGACCGCGTCACTGTGTTGCCGAGTATACGAGCTCTCTCTCTCTCTCTCTCTCGCTCTGTTCAAAAAAGCCTAGCCTGTACGGGTGTATACGTGTGGAGGTACGTGCGTCTTTCCTTCTTTTCATTTTTTCGTCCATTCTTTTCTTGCGGTCGACCACTTTTATAATTTCGCCGTAAATAAGCACAAAGCCGAGGCGATAATTCTCGCGCTTGATGCGATTTCGCGCCGAGCTTCGTTGGTATGGAAGGACAAAAAGTCTAAACTGAAAAGTTTTGACCAAAAAGTTCGTGAGTCGCATCTTCTGCGCGCCTATCTGTGCAAGTGTACCTACCTGAAAGTGAATAGGTACGATTGCCGAACAAAATCCTTCTGGAAGACTTTTTCAGTTTTTTAATGTACGACTTTTCGAAGATCAGGATTATGCGTGGAATTTTGGTAAAATTGTTGTTTCAGGAACAAGGACGAATTTAGCAATATCTGGTACTTAGACAGTGGCGTATTAAAAAAAGGGCCGCCCCACGCAAACTTTCATTTGTCGCTTACGCCATTTTAATACAATTATTAGAGCTTTTACTAATTTTTCAGAAACTTATAAAACATTTGTTGGTTTTCATTAAATTGATAAATAGTTCCAAGTCGGTTTTTCCAGATGAAACATATTTTTTTAAGCGTTCATGTCTCGTGTAAAAAAAAAGCAGCAAATGTATCTATCAGCAAATGTATCTAAATCTTTCACTAACGCTTATATGATCAATTCGGAGTAGTGTAATTCGTTATGTTTATTAAAAATCCAGTAGCCAATCAAATGCTTGACCCATGCACAGTTCCAAACAAGAGGCGAAAAGAACTCTCGGTTGATCATTGCATGAAGAGCTGCAGGAACCAAGAAGCCAAAAAGTAAACCGAGAGGATGAATAAATAGTACGCAAAATCGGAAAACACCATACCAGTGTACAAAGATGTAATGATAGTTAAACGCTCGAGGTCTATGTAATACACAATCATTTTTGCACAATTTTTATTGAAATGTAAGAAAAACATATGTATAAGTATCTACACATATTCAAAATTGTTAATCATCATTTATTCTCGAAATTTTAGCATGCATGTCTTTAAGTGGGTTAGCCAATGTGATTTTTTTCCAAATTTCTTCTTACACTTGTTACATGCGAAATCTTTGCGACCTTGGTGGACTAATTTTTGGTGTTCATTCAAATTACTTCGTTTTCCAAATTTCTTATCACACTTATCGCACGCGAAATCTTTGCAACCTTCATGAATTATCTTTTGGTGCTGAATCATAGTCCATTTAAGTCCGAATTTCATACCGCACTTGTCACATGCGTAATCTTTCCGACCTTCGTGGACTGTCTTCTGGTGTTTTATCAAACTGCATCGTTCTGTATATTCCTTCTCACATTTGTCGCATGCGTAATCTTTGTGACCCTCATGTACTGTCTTTTGGTGCAAAAGCAGATGCTGTTTTAGTCCAAATTTCTGCGCGCATTTATTGCATACATAATCCCTGTGACCATCGTGGATTATATTTTGGTGTCTAATCAAATTACTTTTTTTTCCAAATTGTTTTTCGCATTTGTTACATGTGAAATATTTCTGACCGTCGTGTACTGTGTTTTGGTGAGAGAGCAAATTCGATTTTTTTCCAAATTTTTTTTTGCACTTGTCACATGCAAAATCTTTTTGTTTTTCGTGTACTACCTTTAAGTGGCTTAGCAAAACCTTGTTTTCTGTAAATTTCTTTTCGCAATTCTCACATGCGTAGTCTTTACGACCTTCGTGGACTGTCTTTTGGTGTAGACCCAATTCATCTTTTCGTACAAATTTCTTCTCACAATCGTCACATGCGTAATCTTTACGACCTTCGTGTATTGTCTTATGATGATGAACTAAACTCCATTTGTGTCCAAATTTCTGCCCACAATCGTCACATGCGTAATCTTTGCGATTTTCATGGACCGTCTTTTGATGTCTGAATAATTTTGATTTTTCTCCGAACTTTTTCTCGCATCGGTCACACGCATAGTCCCTGAGACCTTCATGGATCGTCCTTTGGTGGATAAGCAAGTGATATTTACGTCCAAACTCCTTCTCACACTTGTTACATGTGAGATCTTCCCGACCTTCGTGTACTGTCTTTTGTCGGGGGAAAATATTCGGTTTTTGTACAAATTTTTTCCCAAAATCATGGACCTTAATTTGGTGCCTAATTAAATCTGATTTTATTTTAAATTTTTCTCCGCACTTGACGCATGCGAAATCTTTACAGCCATCATGGACTGTTTTTATATGCAAGTGCAAACTATGTTTAGTATCAAATCTTTTCGCGCAAATTTCACATAAGTAATTTTTAAAAACTTCGTGGAATATTCTTTTGTGCTTAAGTAAAGTTAATTTATTTTCAAATTTTCTCTCGCACTTGCTGCATAAGAAATCTTCTTGTTTTTTGTGAACTAATTTCTGATGTGTGAACAAACTCGATTTTTTCACAAATTTCTTCTCACATCTGTCGCATGCAAAATCTTCGCGACCTTTGTGTACCGATATCTGGTGTCTACTCAAATGACTTCGGAACTCAAATTTTTTTTTGCATTTATCGCATGCATATTTGTTTTGTTCATTGTGAATCGTGTCTCGGTGCGTTATCAAACTTGATTCTAATATGAATGCCTCCTGACAAATATCACAGACGTATTTTTTTTTGTCTGAAACAACAATGTCGTGACCATTTAAATTATTTACCGACATAACTTCCTCGGATTTCTTCTCACTTTTATCCATTTTGGTACCTAAATTTAACGATAAATCTTTGTATTTATTGCCACGAAAATTGAATGAGTAGAATTTATTTTCTGGTATTATGGCTTGTTACATCGAGAAAGACAATATTCAAACTAATTTGTTTTTATAATAAACATGATCATTGTGTCAAAGAAATATCTTAAAATCGTTTATAATCATACTGTTTACAATCAAGTAACCGATTTATCTGTTTATACATTATACTTACAATATTTGAAATAATTTAGCATTCTAATTTGATGACGATTTTTACGAGAAATTTTTTGAACTTCTAAAACCAAGTAGCCATCCATTTGATTTATAAAAACACATTTTTTGAGGAAACAAAGTACAATCATGTTTTTATTTCACCTTCGTCAACGTGTTGCTTATAGTCGCGGCGGTGCGCACGAATCGGCCCTACATACGCTATCCGATTCGCGGGCCCTTTACGCAACGCGCTGATAATGCGCGCCACGGGGGAAAGTGACAAATCACTCGAATTCGGGGGAGGAACTTTTCGGCCAGCGTTACGCGTCGATGCTGCTTTTCGCGCGCTCGCCTTTCTCCGCGCACGCGAAAATACGTATACGTACGCGTGTAGATACCTCGGTACTGCTGTATGCATGTGTGCGCGTCGCGCTTCTAATGGCCGACAGGTCGCTGACGAGTATTCGTGCGCAGCTTTACGCTTTTCGCGCCGAATGCATCTGTCAGCGATGGGAGGACAACGCACAACCTACGGCTGTGTGTGCCTCTATGTGCGTGTGTGTGTCTACGCGTATGTACATCGCCAAAAATGCTTTTACCCTCCGCGCTCACGCGCGCTCACGTATCAATCTATTCTAGCGTGCGTACACTGCCGCGCTATCTCTCTTTTTCGGGCTTTTCATTCGTTTTTCTTGCTCGCGAGCGCGAATTTTCGGATTTATACATCGGCCGCCCTCTCTCTCTCTCTCACTCCTCTCGATTCGCGTGAAATTTTCTCTTTCGCTAGAACGACTCATTCTCCCCCTTCGTGTATATAGCTAGGATGCACCGGCGAAATATTGTAATTGCTTGTTTATGCGTTTTTCTACCGTAGCCTGTACACGGCGTGGCCTCTGAAGCGGACACAACGCGCACGAAGTTACAGCAGCAGCAACGGCATACGGGCCAACAAGAAATAAAAGCTATGCGCCGGAGAGAGAGCGGCCGTTACATCTTTTTCTCTTCTCTTTGTGTACGCACACATGCCTGCGTGCGTTGTGTACGTCTCTCAATTCCGCTGCATCGATGACTTTGATTATCGATTCGATAGTTTTCTTTTTCCTCTTTTTATCCTGTTTTTTTTTTTTTTATCTTTTTTTATCGTTTTTCGCTTGTCCATTCGCACACAACATTTCCAAACGATAAAATCTAAATTATGCTCGGGCCGCGATCAAACGCGCACACACACACGCACACACGTTCACATGATATAAAGCAATTTTTGAACAAACTACTGGGGATGTACACTAGACTCGGCTGGCACGAAGAGCCATTCATTATTGAAGCGTTGCCCGTTACCAACAGCAGCAGCAGCAGCTGGATGATATAACATCGATTGCCGAACGTGGCAACTGTACGCTCGATAAGAACTGCCTCTCTCTCTCGTTCGCTCGCAAGCTCGTGCAAGCTCGGCCACGCAGGGCAATATAAGCCGCGCGCGTGGATGCGCGCACACACACACAGACACAGGACGTAATAACGAACATTGGCTAGATTACAAGTTCTCATAAATCGAGGCCGCAGCAGCAGCAGCAGTAGCGATCGTTGCTGGCTCGTGAGAACGAGAACTTTTTTCGAACTACGACGAGGACGACGGCGACGGTGGTGGTGGCGACGATCGAGGTGCTGCTGCTGCTGCTGCAGCCGATACGGCTGCCACGCGAGTATAGAGCTGCGAAGATCCATATGTAATTTGGCTCGATCCCTGCCGAGCTTTATATAAGTCCGCGCGCGTCGGGAAAATTCGTTGGATTACCGGGGCAATTTCGCTTCGAGGAATTTTCAAGCCAGATTTGCTGCTTTGTTTATTTTCTCTCTCTCTCTTTCTCTTGCGCATCCATCTCTCTTTTTCGCTATAAAGTGTCTATGTGGACGCGAAGGTTGGGAGGATGAAAAAGCAAAAAAAAAAAGAAGGAATAAAGTACAGAAGAAAGAAACAACGGCAGAGAGAGAGAGAGAGAAGCACAAACTCGTGTTGTACCCCCCTTCTATGCTAGTCTATACATACAAATGTATCGGTATAGAAATAGCTCGTCGCGCACCGAAAGAGAGAGATCGAGCCGAGAGAAAAATAGAGACGAAGAAGTACGATAGGAATTCCGTGCAATTTGTCGCGAAGCTATTTTACCCCTGTGTGCACGTGTGTGTGTATGTGTGTACTATACGGCCCGGCGTGCACCACCAGAGAAAGAGAGAGAGAGAACGCGTGGCAACGACAAATTGCTAGAGCGTCGTTTCCGCGTCTATGTACAGCAGTAGCAGCAGTGGAGGCAGTAGCTACCTACACATACACAAATATACACGTACACATGGAGAGAGAGACACGAGAATCTCACAGAGAGTAAAATCCAGCCTCGGCGTACGTGTGTACTTTTCGTGTATGTATGTGCTTCAAAGACACGAAGACGACGACGACGAGTTGTGGCATGCGGTTTTAACAACGAAAAAAAAAAGAAGAAATAATTATTTTCCCCGGGCCCACGGATACATCGACTCTCTTCTGGATAATTAATTAATTACTAATTGCCGCTGATTAAAAGTAAATAATGAACGAACGGGGCGAGAGAGAAAGAGAGAGAGAGAAGCATGAAGCGTAAGCTCGAGCGTGGAACGTTGTTGTATATGTGTTCGGTGTATCGGGTGTGGGGGAGATGGTCGGGGGAGCGAGCTATAGACTGATTTAGGGTCGTGGTATGCGCGAGCGGATGCGCTCGATTATTTTCGGTTTTACCCGTTGCCTCTGCCACCACGACCACCACTACCGAGCAGCTCGTGTATACACGCTTGAGTACTCGCATTATTAATTGCAATGACACGCGGGGCTTGGCGCGAAAAATTATACGAACAAGCGGAAGCTTTTATCACGAGCTTTCATTTTTTTTATCATTATTTTTTTTTTTTTTTTTTGAAACTTGGCTATATCTTGTCAGCGTCGATTATTTGTACATCCTCCCCCTCTTCCTCCTTCTGCTGGTTGCCTGCCTGCTGCCCTCCGTAAGATCCTTCATCATAAATCCAGTCAAATTAAAAGGTTGTTCCGCGCGTTACGTCGACGAGAAAGAGAGATAACTTCTTTTGTGTGTGCGCGCGCGGAGTAGCCCGAGCGAGGGAGAGCAGTTGAAGCTCTCCGAGCAAGAGAGAGAAAAAAAAACATCCTTTCGCCGGGTGTCAAGAAAAGAAGGGTTGACGAGGAATAAAAGCTCTCGCGCGCGCGCGGGCAGCACTGAAAGAAGACTGACAGCATTTTTCGGTATGACGTGGAATAAAATAAATGATCGAGAATCGCTGCTGCTGCTGGGGCCTTCGGGCGTACATGTACGCGCGAAAAGCAGCAACGGCGCAGAGGGCAACTTGCTTTTTTTTTATTAATTTCTCTCAGATACAATTAGTTGGTCTATTCGTCAGACGCGTTTCATTAAGTTTCCCCCACTCGGTTCGCTCGTTCGTCCGTTCGTCCGCTGCTGCTGCGTCTGCTGTTGTTACTCATTCGTGTACCATTGCAGTCGTTTTGTATCTATCCGGTAGATTTTTTTTCGCGTTCGGACGCGATGTAATTCTCCTTTCTACCTTTTTTTTTTACTATTATTTCACCTCGCTCTGTCTCTCTCGCTCTCGTGTCCGAATATATATATATGACAGGCGCGCTCACACGCGCGCGCGCTTTGATATATAATTATTTTTTCTCGGCCCCGTGCAAGCACGCGCGTCGTGCGAAATTAAATTTCGACCGTTTAAAAATCACTCACTCGTGTTTCGAGTGTGCACCCGCGTCGATATAAAATAGTCCGGAGCGATTTTCTCTCTCAGCCCGACGCCAAAAATAAATAAATAAATGAAACACGAATTGGGAAAGGAATAAAGTGCGGGGGGGGGCGAGAGATAGTAGTTGCACAATTGATGCATAATACATTAGAGTCCGAAGCATCTCTCGCGTCGGATGAAACAAAAAGAAGGAAAGAGAGAAGCGGGAGAAAAGAAAGAAAGAAAACGTATCCAGTTAGTTTTACACCGAGTTGACTTGTTCCGCATTAATTCGTAAAAGTTCCGAGCGATTTTCAATTGATCGATTACGCAACGCAAAGGTAGAAATATCCGCAGCTTTTATTTCTACGCTCTTTTTTTTTTTATTTGCTCCCTTTTGTGGACTAGACAGAGAGAGAGAGAGAAGAGAATTGGGCACGCGCGCGCGCTCTCTCTACTCTGCTGTTGCTGCTGCTGCCTTTATCTTCTTTGAAATAAATACCAAACGCCTTTTCCCTTTCTATTCCTCGTTTTCCGTTCAGAGGGAATTCACCCTTGCCTTTTATTTTGTTTCCCAGAGAGAACAATATTGCAATTTGCTCCCTTCGGTTGCCGGCGATGAATGCGAAAAAAAAACAGGCGCATATATACACGTCCCGAATACCGTACTTCGACGTGCCTTTTTTTTTAAACGTTGCCCCGTCTAGCCTGATTAGACGATGACGATAGTTTTGTTTGATTTGTCCTTTTCAAGTAAAAAAATAAAGATAAATAAATAAACGGATTCATCGCCAACTACTTTATATCATTAAAAACGAATAAATCCGCGAGCAAATAAATTAACCTCTCGTTTCAGTTACTCGCTCTGCAGCGACGGTGGCTGCGGTACAGAGAGACGACGACGATCAACTAGTTGTAAAATCACGAAGAAGACGAGTAAGTGCGAGAGAATCAATCGGAGATTTCTACCTTTCTATTACGCGGATCGCACTGAGTTCCTCGGGGCTAAG